CTACAGCTTCTATGCTTGGGGATTGAAAGAATCCTGTTATTGTTCCTCTCTAAAAATAGAAAGATAGCAAAAAATAAATGCAAAAATTATGGCTCATGGCGCTACTCTGTTAAGTATACCTGGAAAAGTATTTGGAAGTATTTTGATTGAAAAAGTGTAACAGATCACAATGATCAAGATTTGAGAAACTGAATTGCAGCTTTATGTTTGGCAGGATATATATTGGTCATACAGAGAGAATCACAAAGCAAATATATGAAGTGTGAATGGGTAAATTCAGTGGTGGGCTACTGGGGGTTCACAGGGGTTTAGGAGAGCCCCTAGCTAAGATTCTGTGCAGTTCAGAGAACCCCCAAATCCCACTCCTCGCTGGCCCCTCCCATCCCACTCTGCCCTTCTCAGGAGTCCTCACACGGCCTATTTTGGATACAAGTAAGTGCAGGGTGCACGTGGGGCCTCAGGGAGGGTGAAAAACTGGCCTCCCTGAAGTTCAGGAAGGCCAGAAATAGGTCTGTTCCAGAGGCACTCCCCCTAGAGGCTCAAGGAAAACTTCCAGAGCCCAGGGAGGGCAAAAATGTCCCACCCCTGTGGGGTGCAGGAGGCTGACTAGGCCACGCCCACCATGACCATGGCCACCCAGCAACCTGGCAGAGAACCCATTGCTAAAATTTTTGAAGCCCAACCCCTGGGTAAATTGTATGTGATTGTGGTTATGTGGAATGGATAAGATTGACAAAAAGGAAGAGATGAGTAATCTAAAGAACTAAATATAACATATGAAGCAATTTATAGAAATGGTATATCAAGGATGATTTACAAGAATTAAGATAAAAAAATATGAAAAGATATATGAATGCTTTTGATGTAAACTACATTCAAATGCATCTCCTGAATCGTGAGATGCCATCAAAATGATGAAACATATCACAACACTGTTCCACCTGTTAAGTACATGTATAGACCATAATGTTGAATGTACAAAAGGGGGGTAGAGAGAGAGAGGGGGAGGGAGAGAGAAAGAATTAATAGCAGATGCCATTCTGTCTAGAAAAAGATATGTGCATTTTTATGTGTATCCCTGTGTAATAGAACATCTGCAAGAAAACAACTAAGTTCAGAGAAAACCAAGGACCTACAGTTCAATCCTGAGCAACATATATTATCTTCCATTGTATCATGCTTTCTTTAATATACCTGTCTCAGATGTATAGATTTTAGTACACCTGTAGATTTCAGTTTCATTCATTTGGCAGATCTAAAATTAACTGTTGAAAGTATTTCAGTTATCACAATTCACAATCATGTTTATCCTTTAATATAGTTAATGTCAGCCTCAAGAGATATTCATCCCTAACTATCAAGATATCTTCACCCCTAATTATTGATTATTTGTTGCTATGCTCTTTACCTCTCTTTCGGCTGTCATGAAACGGTGGGAGGGGGGAATCTTGGAGGGGAAGAAGGCAGGAGGTGTTTTGCATTCCTTTGCTGGGTTAAGAAAGGGAGGGGGGATTCTTTGTTTTAACTTTCCATTTCTTCACTAGCCTCTGTCCTTTTTTCTGCGCAACTGCGAACTTTTATCAAAATATGTCAAGGTCACTGACAGTAGCCTCATCATCACCTAGAGATGACCACATGATCCTATTCAGAAGTTTTAATTGGAAGAATCATTTGATCTCTGGAGGGGGGGGAGCAATTCTATCCCTTTGTATATGCATTTTACCCGCCAATATTTCAGTTTCGGAATTGATTCTGTTGCTACCATTCAATTTCCAGTAAAAGAATAATTCTGCTCTACACCATGGAGTCTGAGTATTTCTTTCTTGGGATTTAGAAGGAGCACAGTCTGACA